ACTAGTAGAGGTCCTTATAGCTTATAAAAAGGTTAAGGAGCTAAAAAGCTAGAGGGCTACTATTATTAGTATACTAAAGTCTATAAGCTAGACCTATAAGAAGTAGTATAACTAAAGAAGAATAAATATTAAGTTTAAAGTAAAAAGAAAAGTCTTATTATTAGCTAAATTTATTAAGTAGAGATAACTATTAAAGAAGCTAGTAAATAAGTATTTTAGACTTTTTATAGTAATATAAGTAGTTACTAATAAGAAAGCCTATAAGCTAGATATAAAAATAAAGTACTATATTTATAATATATTTTTACTATTTTAGCTAAAGAAGTTTAAAGGAGTACTAATAAAGCCTTAGCTTATTTAAATTAAAGAAAAAGATATATATAAAGTAAACTAAATAGTAATATATAAAAGACTATAGTAAAATAAGTAGTATTTTATTAAATAAAAAAATATAGTAAGAAAAAAAATTTATAAGAGCTATAAAGAAATATATCTAAGGATTTATAATAAGACTATAAGTAAGAGGTTACTAAGAGGATATAAAAAGGACACTAAGTAGAAGTAAGTACTTAGCTTAAGGGGCTAGATTTTTTAATTATTCTTTAGTACTAAGGCTAGAAAGTATATAGCCTAAAGGCTAAGTATCTAAAGCTATAGTAGCTAGGAAAAAGAAAATAAAACTAAGAGAGGGCCTAAGGGGGAGGGGAAAGGCACTAAGAGGGTAGTAGTACCTACTTCTTTTTCTTATTTTTACTTCTACTAAGTATACTAAAGGCTATATTACTTTTAGACTATAAGTTAAAGTTAGTAGTATACTAAAATAAAAATTAGTAACTAAGAAATAGTAAGGGGTTACTAAAAAAAATAATATATAACCTAAAAGTAAGTAGTAGCCTACTTAAAAAAGAGGGTGCCTTAGGCCTTAATAGCCTTAGTCTACTTCTTAAAAAGTATATTTTAGTACTAAAGTATTATAGTAGCTACTTTAGCTAACTTAGCTAAAGAGATAGTAGTAGTAGTAAAAGCCTTAAGGGCTATAACCTTATAGCTATAAAGAAGCTATTTTTTCTCTTTAGCTTTAGCCTTATACTTAGCGTTAGGGGCTTTAGTAGTATTTACTTTCTTTTAAAGGGCTTTTTTAACTATAGTCTAAGTAGTAGTAACCTCCTCTTATATAAAGGGTTAGTTAGAAGGTAATTATAAAGTACTAAGAGAGATATACCTTATAGTAGTAGTAGTTAGTATATATAGTGCTATTATAGTAAAAGGCCTTAAAAATATTCTTAAAAGTAAAAGTAGTAAAAGTTATAATATAAGTAGCCTATAGGGGGTTAGTAAGGAGTTACTAAAGTACCTCTTACTAGTAAAAAAAAGATAATAATATAAAAATACTTATATAAATATACTTCTTACTATATATTTTAATATACTAAAAGTACTTATTACTAGTAGCTAATAGTATAATTAAGACTAAGATATAAATAAAAAAAGGCCTTTAAGAAGTACTAAGGTGTTAAATACTTACTAGTAGTCTTAAGGTAATAAGAAAACTTAGCCTTAGTATTAGCTATATTTATATACTAAATAGATATAGCCTAAAAGTAGTAGTAGTATAAAATAAAATAAACTATAGTATAGTTATTTTTATTTTTTTTATCTAAAGAGCTAATAAACTAAGAAAATAGTAAAAAAGTAGTAGTAAGGCCCTTAATACTCTTAAAAGTAATAAAAGTAGTAGTATTAGTAGTATTAGTAGTGTTAGTAAGTATAATAGTAAATATAATAATAGTAATAAAAAAGCTAGTAATACTAGTACTATTACTAGTATTATTACTATTACTATTACTACTAAGTAGTAGTAGTAATAGTAGTAATAAAAAAAAATAATAATAATAATATAAAAGTATTATAAAAAAAAATAAGTAATAAAGAAATTAATAAAAACCTAAGTTAATTTAAATTACTTATTTTAAGTTAGTATTAAGAAAAAAGCTAGTAATAATAATAACTTAAGCTTATAAAGTTAAGACTAAATAAGCCTTAATAAAAAAAGCTAGTTAAGACTAAAAAGTTATTAGTACTAACTATAAAAAGTAAAGTAAAAAATTTTTTTATTATAAAAGTAGTATAACTTAAGGCTTAATAAATAATTAATAAAAAAGCTAAATATTATAATAATAAAAATAATAAAAAATATATAATACTTAAAGAAGTACTATAAGGCTTAGTTAATAAAAGATATTAAAAAGTATTATAAGTAAATAAGGTATTCTTATTATAAAGTAAATAGTCCCTTACTAAGTAAAATAATATAAGACTTATACTTTAAGCTAAAAAACTAAACTATACTAAAAAAGTAGTAGTTAGGGCCTAGCTAAAATATAATAGTATAAAAGTAAGGCTAAAAGTAAATAGTTAGCTAAAAAGATAACTACTTATTTAGTAGCTTACTAAACCTAATAGGTGTTCTTAAATATCTCTTAAGATACTAAAAGATAAATATAAGGTATAAAGCTTAGCTATTAAATAGTCTAAGTAGCTAATAAGGGGACTACTAGTAAGTAGCTAGCTTAAGGCCTTAAAAGATTAAGAGTTAAGTATAAGGCTTAGCTATTAAATAGTCTAAGTAGCTAATAGGGGGGCTACTAGCAGATAGCCTACTTAAGGTCCTAAGGGCAGGACCTTAGAGGGGGGGGATTATATTAGGTGCCTAGAGCAGGGCCCTAGGGGGGCACTAGAGTAAGACTAGGACTAGATAAACTAGTCACTAAAGGAATAACAAAAGGGGAAAACTCTATAGAAGATAAGGGTTAGAGGAGGTATATTAGAATAATTATTATAATTAAACCCTAACTACGCCTATTACTAACTCCTTTACTTAATACTATCCCTACCTCTAACAGCAGAGCGGCTATATAAAGATGCTCTAAGTTCTTTAACACGACACGCATGTGGCTCCCTGGTCCTTATGTAGACGGCCGAGCATTCACAATAATATATATTGCACTCCAAGCGATAGAGGCAGCGCCAAAATACATGGGTCTGGGGATCCTGGGTTCTAGACGTAACGATTACGGTTGATCTATTAACTTCTCGAGGCAGTGGCTGTGGCGTGAAGATAGATATATATATGAGAGCGGTGATGAACAAATGCGCTTCTTGAAACACCAGACCACAACAACTGTAGCGATGAGGAATGGCACATCGCCCAGTAGGATACTTTGATGGGCTATTCATGCCAGTAGGAACAGTCAAGAAAAAGAAGCGTGACGTATACCCCCTCATCCTATACCTATCGAGATCCTGGAGTTTTTCTACGTAGAAATACAAGCTACTTTCAACTCTATGAACTTTACCAGAGCCCCGAGGTGGCACTGATTCGGATAGCTGTAAGTATCAACCTTGCTTATAGCGAGCGAAACAGGACGTTTAAGAGCAGAAATAAGTTTGCGGATTGCCATTAGCTACTGTGGGCCTTCCACGGAAAAGCCTGATCCGCAAAGGATATTTCCCTGCAGGTGGACATTAAGTCTTGTCAATGTTGAGGGAAAAAAAGAGAATATTCTTATAACTCAACGTCGCGTAGAATACCAAGCCTAGGCAATTGATTCGGTGAAGTACCAAGATAGTACGATGGTATCCGGCCGAAGTTTATGACCCCTGTTAGGTAACTAACGCTCACCCCCCTACTACAGGACTTCACTTTTGGTGAATATTCCTCCCCTATCATGATATCAGCTGTGGGAGGTAACATCATAGGGGTCATTAACTTGCCCCTGCCACCCTGTACTTTATCCTTTCTTCAGGTAACAGTAGACTTCATCCATCGAGGTATCAGTACTCCGTACTGCTACTTCACTCCTCCGAAGGTATCCACAGCAGGAGCCACTCGTGCTTCTACCAAGCTTTTCTGTTTGGTCACTCACCTTGGCCGCGGGTGTTTAGTTCGGGGGGGTATCCGGCCAGTGGGGCAGAAGTTCGAGGGGGGGTAAAAGCCCTAGTCACAGTGTAAATTAAAAAAACGTAACTAAATTAATCTCAGCACATCCTTAGCATATCCTAAAGAAGTATAGTACTCACCTTCTATAACTATAGAGGACTTAGCTACTTTAGCTCTAACTAAGTCCTCTATAGTGATAGAGGGATAGTACTATAATTTAAGGTATATACTTAGTATATACTCAGCATATGCTAAAATTCTGACACTCTTCACACTCTAAGCTAAGCTTAAATAAGCCTATCAACCCTAACCCTAAGCCCCCACCACCTCCCCCCCCCCCCAAGAACTTTTCGGCCCCACAATGGATACCCCCCTACGAACTGTGCGGCCCTTGGCCGCTACACTACTACTAGTTAGTACACCTATGGCATGATTCAGTTGGGAACAGGTATGGACAGGCCTATCCTAGCCGGTGAGCCTGTTGCAGGGTAAGTCGAGCCCACTCTAATTTCCGGCTTTGCTCAAAAGCAGCACTTTAAGCTTTCGGGAATGTTGATCCTCCTCCCCTTTTGATGATTCGTGCCAGGACCATCAAATTCACACTGGCTTATGACCAGCACGTCTGTTCTTTCTACTTGACACTGCGAGGTGCCGTACTGCCGGGTTTTACTCAGGGATGAACCCCCCTCATGGTCCTTTGGCAGTTTGCCGTCCAATCTTCTCCAGTAACACTGATGGCTGCAATTGGCTGAGCTGTTGCTCAGCCTGAAAACCTCGAACGATGCCACCGGCTACCGGTAATGAAGCCCGGTGCACTACCCATAATCCCGACTGGTTCGCTAGTTTGAGTTCAAAGCAAAGATATATGCTTGGGTAATGGGTTCTCTTGCGAGTATATGAAAGGGCAACAATCCCATTCCGTCAACGTGTGTCTGAACTTTTGTCATTTGATAGCGCTTCCAACGCTTCTACAGTCACTCTTTTGTTTAGTTATAGTACCCAACTGCCTCAGGAATCCCTCGAGCATACACTCTCTTTCACTAAGACTCAGCTAGTAATAATGCCCCGAACACTTGGTCTGGCCGCTGTGGCCGCCCTGGCTGTTGAGGCTACCTCGTACGCCCCTCGCAGTAACGATGGCCCTGTACCTTGGACACCTATTGCCTCTGCTCCGATTCCCTCTGGCTTGCCACTCTCAGTACCTGTTCCAGTCTCGCCCCCCCGCTATGTCATGTACTTTGACCAGTATGAAAACCCTGCAAACTCCGAAAACCTGCGGCTTGGTGTCTGATTCTCATATAGGTATCACACGGCCGGCTTACCCGAGAAATCCATCGTCGACGGCGTCACTCACGTCATCACGGCCTTTACCAACTCATCCCTATTTGCGTCCGAGCCGGCGGGCGAGTATAAGCCATTCAAGCCTCTAGATGAGATTCGGGATCTCTTCAATAACGGCACCAAGGTCTGCATGTCCATTGGTGGCTGGGGTGATACGGATGGCCTCAGCCATGGTGCTTCGACCAACTCGAGCCGCAGCAAGTTCGCCAGAAATGTTGCCGATGCTGCGGTCAGCCTTGGATACGACTGTGTCGGTCAGTGAAGCAAACATCCAAGAAGTCCGTGACGAACAACAGCTGATCAAAATTGACAACAGACATTGATTGGGAGTACCCTGGCGGCAATGGAGCCGACTACAGGCAGATCCCAAACGCCAACAAAACCCAGGAGATCCATACATTCCCTCTACTTCTTTCTGCAATCAAGACTCAGCTAAAACACCACAATATGGAACTCTCCGTTACCGCGCCGGGTCTCAAGCGTGACATGATTGCATTCACCAGGAAAGAAGTTCCTAAGATCAACGCGGCCGTCGACCACTTCACTGTAAGCCATAGCATAGCGGTGGCGTATCTAAATATACTTGGCTAATTCTGAATATAGGTCATGACCTACGATCTGATGAACCGTCGCGACAACATCACTAAGCACCATACCGACGTACAAGGTTCCCTCGAGGCCATTGACACCTACATTGCGCTTGGCGTTGAGCCTGCCAAGATCAATCTCGGCTTCGCCTTGTACGCGAAATGGTTCACCACTGCCGTCGGCTACAACTGCACTCAGGGGATCGGATGTCCCACCCAACTGCTTGAGGCTGCTGATGGGTCCGACACTGGGAAATCTGGAGCTGTCACATTCGAGGCTTCCAATTTTCTGGCCTCTCCTACCAACTTGACCACTTCTCCTGATGACTCCTGTGGCGCTGGAACTTTCTACAAGTGCCCCACTGGCAATTGCTGCAGCCAGTACGGCTTCTGGTAAGTGAAATCTGGTAATACACCGGTAGCACTACTTACTGATACTGCTTCAGTGGTGTAACCGAGGCTCATTGTGGCAATGGGTGTCAATCCGACTATGGTGTCTGCAACGGTACCTCTACTCTGGAGTCTTTCAAGGCTGCTCTTGCAAACGGCAAGACCGACGAGATCAGAGGTGGCCAGTGGTATTGGGATCCCGCCGGTCCTTTCTTCTGGACGTGGGAAACCCCAGCTCTTGTCGCCCGCAAGTTCAATGATATCGTCAAGGCTCGTGGCATCGGTGGTGTTTCGGTTTGGAGTTTGGGTGAAGACTCATACGACTTCGCTCTTCTGAAGGCGATCCAGACCGGTGTCAAGGACAGACTCATGAAGTAAGGGGGGGGAAGGGAGGTAATTAATGGTGCATAAAAAGCAACCCTGGACTAAGCTTTTAAGCATCTTCTCTCTTCAAACAAAATATAGCGAAAGAATTGCCATTGGCCTGGGGTTACTTGCCATCAATATACTGCAAATTGAGGTCAGATCAATGACACATGGTCCACTCTAGATCATCACGTTAGTAGAAGATAGCTCCGCACGTAAATAATAAGGGCTTGTGAAGAACGACTTCACATCCGTCGCCAACGTCAACCAGAATATCTTATGTCTCTCGCCCCTGCCAGGGGTTCTTTACATCTTTGCCAGCGGGGGGGGGGGGGGGGGGGGGGGCACATCAACAGAGGTCATGGTCCAGATGTCACAGAAGGACGCCTTGCAAACGCTCTTCTCACGAGCTCACTCAAGTCAAACGATCTTCCAGCCGAGGCTCATGACGTCTGGGCATTTTCCAAAGCCTGGAACGTCGCCCTAACCACGAGGAATACGATGAAGCCCAGCACGACCGCCGGCATGGCAGTTTTGGCTCAGCTGGCCAAAGTTGAGGGACCTTTGTGCCTGCTGGTATCACAGGATCCGATCGAATAGGATATCCGAGAGTAATTGAATTTTTTTGCTGCTGATGTTGAAGAGAAGAACACCTATCACCACCATTTGCTGCGAGCACCGTTTACTATAGTCGCCCGAGGTCACATGATCTTGGTTACTCTATAGCCTGATGTCAGAGGCTGTGATAGTATCGAGTAAAGGAGTCAACGATCGGTGCAGTTAGGGTCAATTGTGACGATCATTCCTATCTGCCCCTTCCATCCCCTAAGATTCTTGCAGAATTCTCCTTTTACGTGGCCCCAGGTCAATAGTTTATCCGTGTCCGCCCCCCCGGTGCCCCGTCGTGGCGCCTGACACCTGACAGTGCTCGTTCAGATTATTAGCTCACCCTTTGTTCCTAAGAGGTTGACATCGAAACAGGCTGCTGATCAGCGGACCTCAGCAGAGGAGGCTTTGATTAATTGCATTGGCTCTTTGGGATTCTGACCTGATACCTAATATGTACATTCAGCTTAGTCGTTATTGCAATTGAATAGAAGCCTGCAATCTAAAACAAAACAGGTTATCGTGAAATATGATTGCATTTCTTCTGTGATCTCAAAGATTCGTGTCTATATACAAAAGCAGAAGCAGAAGCCAAACCGTTCCAAAACATTACGGCCATCAACGAATTAGCAATCGTAATTGAAAACTGGTACTACTTGGGCTCGGCCGGATGGTCTTGTCACTTGTGTGAATCTGTCACGCCAAGCTTGTGCTTGCATTTGTCCAGCTGGAGTCGCAAACTCGAGTTGGCATATTGATTCGCAACCTGGATTTCGTGCCCCGGGCTTTTGTCAGTCAACTTGCCAATCAGCTCCATCAGTTTGTTTTGATCATGAGAAAATGCCTTTCCGTCAAGCATGGAAGGGTCGGCCCCTCTCTCCAACAGCCACTCCGCGTACCCCCAATCCCTCATGGAACAGGCGTATGTTAGAGCTGTCTGCTGTTCCCCTCGCTCCATGACCCGAACTCTATCGATATCCACATCATCAAAATTCAACATGTGCTCAGCAATGGCACGCCTCTGATCAAACGGAAGTAACTTATACGAGACTGTCTCATTGTTTCCATTCTCTCGGTGATCTTCTTCTGCGGGCAGTGCGAGGATGAACAGCGGGCTCAACTCGGCAATGTTGACGGGCAAGCTACTACTCGCCCTTAGCATCTCAAACGACGCGGGGTCACAGCCTTCTATTGCACGCTCTAAAGTCGAGGTACTCTGACGATGGAGCGGGATTTCCGTTGAGTAGTCGAGCCTTTCATGGAGCCCGTGCATAGCTCGGAGGTCAGGCCAACAAGATCCCATGTCAGGGTCTGCACCATGAGAAACGAGAAACCTTACCAGGGGCGGGTTCCAAACACAGGAAAGATAGTGGAATGGCCAAACGGGCCAAGTGTCTTGCGTAGGCTCCCAAGCTTGGTTTGGATGCCAACCAAAGTCGATGAAAGTCTGGAACAGTGGGATCAAATTGTCTCCTTTGGGATATGTTTCAAAAATGGAGGCGCCTCTTGGGGTCTGTTTTCGTTGCGAGCCTGGTTCTGTGCCTTCAAATACATAACCATGCAGAGTTGTACCAATTAGTAGCAAGTACCGGGCAATCTGAGGTTGGTTGCCGAAGGAAGCCATTTGGAGGCCGAATTGGCGGACAGCGTGACTTGGTATGGAACCCCGGACATAAGCTTCGACGTCATCCTGATAACCCATCCTGCATGCACAGTAGAAATCCAATTCTGCCGTATCCTCAGGGTGCAACAGACCATCATGTATGGCGTATTCTGGCCGGGGAAGCCTTGGAGGTAAGGGAGGAAAGTCAGCAAACCGAGCTTTGAGATCGCCAATTTCTTTGGACAGGGCTTCAGGCATCAGTGTTATATTGCGCTTGTTGGTTCTTCTCTCCTCGTTAGTTGCTTGGATATGACGAAAATGCCATGCTATCCGCTGGTGCATGCGATTGCGAGTTTCTGGTCGTACCGTTTCCATCTTGAGTTCTTGAACGAAATTGCTTGCATGGGTTTTGGCGGTTTTGGAAAGCGGCCTTCATATAACAATCAGCGTCGACTAGAGTAAACTACTTCAGCCTCCATGTACAAGTGCTTGGATTTATTTGGAGTTCATGAACAGTCATCTGAATGTCATGGCTGGGTGCTTCTAGGCCAAAAGTGTAGCAAAGACTCGAGCTAAAGGGTTGCAGACAACATGGAATTCTGTCGATAAACAAAATGCACATCCTATTCAAATGCTGGCTTGGAATTACCCGCCAGACTTCAATCTTCCAATGTGTCTCTTTTTTGCTATTTTCCTTGCTTCCTACCCTGAATGCTAGTTGTTCACTACTTCAAGGAGGCTTTCCATTTATATGTACTGCTTGATATTGTATTTGCTTGCTTTATCAAACTTTCCTTTTGGGCATAGAGGCGCACGAGCACAGTTGTTATTTACTGTTCAGATCTAATGGTATCAAGGATAGAATTCACCAGAGTTCTTTTTGGACACTGTATGTGGGGCAGGCTCAGAATTTGTATCTTTCACACGAGGTAAAACAAATTGTTCAATGGTGCTGATGCTGTGTAATGCCATGAGATCAAAGGACGGTTGTTTATTATATTGATCCCTGACACCAAAGTCTTCTGAGGTACTGTTTTTGGCAAAGTTATAGCCCGCAATCTGGGACAACATGAGGGATGTTACACGTCAGTGAGGCCATTGATATACGCAGTCAAGAAATCCGTACCAACGGTTTGCGGATGAAAGGCCTGGCAAAAAGAAATCGTATCTGATTACAATGGGTCAATCAGCCTGTCGGGGCTCTAAAAGATGCCCCTGGCCTGTGATACTGGTCTCTGAGTACGGGAACACTGCTACACCCTTTGGCAGTTTTTCTACCCCCATTCTCATCCAAGAAGACATTCAGCGCCACGCGGGGCAACTCTGGCATGCATGCCATTGATGTCATCTCCTTTTACACCTACTGAGACAACCAATCTATTTCCTCGAGCAACTGCAACGCTTACTCAAGTCACCCAAGTGCCTATGGAAACATTTAATCCCAACGACGTACTGACAGCCAGGTCGTCATCGGTTCCTTCGGTGATGTCGCCCTGCGGATGCAACGAGGATGCATTCCGCTGCATCTACAAAGGTCAAAATGCTACGAGAGCCAGACAGCAGTTTGCTTACGCCAGATGAGGACCTGCATACGCAAGGACCTCCCGAATTCCGCCTCCGAGCTGAGATTAGTGCCATCTCTGATATTATCGTTCCTTCAATATAGAAACCCGACCGACACCAGAAATTCCATCAGTACCCAAAGCTCTACTGATATCGAAAAAGAATACCTTTGCCAAGGCGCCGGCTTCCACAGTAGCCCATCAGGCCACGGACCGGATGGTCGAGCCGGAACAACGGGTTCTCGTATCATGGTAAATGAAGAAGAGGTGGTCGATTGCAACGAACTCCGGGGTGACACCTGCGACGGTGGTGAGTCACAGAAGAAGCTGATATATGTCATAGGAGAACTGCAGCTATATTATTACATAACCTCGAGACGGACTTCAAGCCATGTATTGAGGGTATATATACCTTCCATGCCATCCTCTGAAAAGTCTAATTTTCAATGCTGGGTCGCTTTTTGATTCTGAACCTAAGTGTATAGCTACCCGACTGTTTCTCTTCCATCTGCATTTACAGTCCAAGTACTCTTCCAGTTGTCGGCGTAATATTAACCGACTCGGTATATGCTGTAACAAATCGTTTTGCAAGGACAGCCGGGGCATCCAATATTCCTCCTCCAGTGGGGGCAAGAGCACCGCTACCTTGTCTAATTATATACCCGGTTTTCGATTTCAGGGTAGGTCGTACAATGTGCAAGTTCACACACTCTTCTCAGGGTCTCTTGGCTCGGCCTGCTCAGAACTCGCCAGCACACCAGTCGACTTTTCACCGGTACCAGCATCGGCAGCGGCAGCGGCCTCTTTGTCCTGCTTCCTTGCCATACGCGCCTGGTGCTTGGCACGCTTGCTCTCGTTCTTCTCCTGGTCTTCCCTCATCTGCCGGATGACAGGGCTCTTAGCACGAATCCTCTCACCGTATCTCCAGAAGATGAGAGGGATGGGAATGAGAGCGAGTTCGAGCAGCCCGCACAGCGTGCCGGCCCACTGGGGCGTAAGGGCTTTGTACATGGCGGGCCCCGCAAGGGGTAAGGTGCCTCCGAACATGGATCGCATGACAGCGTTTCCTGCCAAAGCGGAGGCCGCGTAGATGCCGTATGCTCCTGCGAGGTAGTTGGAGCCATAGATGAAGGATATCGTGTTGCCGGCGCCAAAGGGAATGCCGAAAGCGATGGGGATCGCCCAGTGGATGGTCGCCGGCAGGCATGTCCAGGAGAAGACCAGCTGGCCGATGGGGGTGAGGACGGCGCCGATAGTCATGACGCGGGCTGTGGCCTCGGGCGGGACACGGCCAGTCACAGGGTCCTTGGGGTGAGCGTTGATGATGCGGCGGAAGAGGGGCTCGCAACAGATAGCCAGGATGGTGCCGATGCCTATACCGATGAAGGCAAGTCCGGAGACGCCAGGTCCCCAGCCGCGGTACTGAGAGAAGACAATCGGGTACGCGACGAAGCAAAGATAGAGGATGCCGTAGATGAGGGAGATCCTGACTATAGTCAGTTTCGGAGTACATGCATGACGTATGCTGGGTTTCCTACCAGAGGTTGAAGAACCACAGGATGGGTTCCGTGAAGCTCAGTATGAAGGGTCGGCTCAGGTTCAGCTTGATGAGATGGAATTTGGAGACCTTTTCGTCGTAACGGCACCACCAGCGCGGGTCGTCCATCTCCTTGCGCATTCTTGCTGCCTTGCGCTGGAGAATGGTGGGTGCGTACGTCTCGCGGATGGTGAGCATTAGGCAGATACCGACGCCAGCAATAATGAGGACGATCCAGTTGGTCCATCTCCAGCCCATATACTGGAAAACGAAGCCACCGATAAGAGGTCCCGTCACGGGCCCGTTCAGCGGTGCGATACTGTAGAAGGACATGGCGAGTGCGCGGTATTCCTCGTTAGATATGTCGACTATAGTTCCTGGGCTGTTGGCAATCAAAGCGGCTCCAAACAGTGCGCTAGGACAGGAAGGTTAGGTCGTAGCACGGGACGATTGAGTCGAGAATGAGGCTTACCCGAAGAAACGAACAACGATTAGGGTAGTCAGGGACTTGGCAAGACCACAAGGAATAATCAGGAGTGATGAGATGATGAAGCAGCCAATGTAAACATATTGCCGGCCGTACAGCTCACTCATCGGCGCCACGAGCAGACTACCAACTGCAAGGCCGAGGAGGTATGTGGTAACACCAAGCGTTGCGATGACCTGCGTCGAATGAAACTCTTCAACGAGACCCGGGATGGAGGCAGTATAGCTTGTACTATACAGCACGACGACCCAGGTAGACAGAGACACGACAAAGATGGTCCAGGCGCGGTACCACAACGGCCAGTTCTTGGGGTTCTCGGGGTCGTCCGGCTCAAAGACGACTTCGAAATCCGGGGGTCGCGACGCGGTGCTGCCGACACTCGTGCCGGTGCGCGTGTAGGTGATGGGCTCTCTGGCGGCGTGCTCAGCCTCCGTCTCTAGGTCGACCGTCAAGGCGTGCTCGAGGGGGTCCAGCGGGTCGGTGTCAGTGGACGAGTGGGACGAGGCCCGGCTCCGGTGGCTACGCCGAGACTCGGCCCCCTTTGACGGACGCCGTGGCGGCGAGTCTTGTCCAGAAGTGGTCGAGGCTACCATGGCGTCCTTGGCGGCCACGTGGGACCCTTTTTCCGAATCCAGCGCGGCGCTCATGGTCGATGGACGCGCAGTGAGGAAACTCTGGACGTTACGTGCCGCGCCGCCTTTCCGCACACAGTTTGGTTGTCGATCAAGGTTGGAAAGGGAGCGATGAAGTTCCGCGGAATGGGATGGCAGCAGGCTAGAAGTAGCACTACGAGCCACGGGAGAATAGCTTTTTAGACGTCGCGGTATCTTACGGCATTAACCCAGTACGGGACGGGTCGCGTTTCCCATCTGTCACCAAAAGGCGCGGATTGATGAGTGGTTGAGGATGAAGAAGCGGGTGTGTCAGAGATTTACAATCCTCTAGCAACGCGGTCTGTTCTCTTGAACGGAGAGGGGCCGAGGGGGAAATAGTACCCGAAATGGATGGATGGAAGGCAACCCGCATTCGATACCACCGACTCAAAAGGGTGTTGTGGTGGGTACTCAAGGCACGCAATCGGCGCAAGAGAGACGGGAGAACCCTGGGCAATCATCCCCCCCCCCGGGAATACCGGCGGGACTAAGGTCGCATCGCATCGCTTCGGGCTAAGATAGTCGCTTTTTCTTGACCGATAGTGCGGGTCGGCATGCCGTTGTAGGAGATACAAATTATGACTCTTTGACTCATTGTTGCGAGTTGACGAAGAACCGCCCTGAGACTGAGACGCAGGCCACTCGGAACCGAGGTGTGGAATCCGGATTCTTTCCCCAGCCTCTTGCTGCGAACTCCATCCCTCTGCATTACCGACTGCGTGATCGGTAGGTGAAACGGGGTAGAGTAGCCGTTCCCCACGGGCGGGGATACGCTGCCGCCAGTCGTATGACAAAAGAGGCCAGACAGGGTTCCATACGGGCGAGAGAGCCGAAGTTCCTTTCCGGGATGCCCTGCACCCTCAAATCAACGAAAATATGCACTTGGAGCAATGTGCTGGCGCGTAAAGTTTGCCGTGTGTACGGGGTAAAGCGCGTCAATAGCGACTTCGCATACCATGCAGCCCGCTATTTCCGGCGCCTGTCCCTTGTAGGCCGGTCACCCTCGAGACGTCGGCGGGGGCGCTGGCCGCCGTGATCCGAGTGGGTGTGGAGTTGGCAAACCCATGGTCTTAGCGTAGCGAACCAGGTTTGACTAAAGTCGGTAGGTAGGTGGTCTGCTGCACTCACGAGATTCTTTGAGTGGTGTGATTGCTGACTGCTTGGTATGACAATGGGCATTTTCTGTGTTCAGTATTAGGAGACGGGCCGAGATGAAGACGCCAACGGACAAAACCAATAAGCCAAATCGGCACCGAGGAGTGGGGCGGAGTGTAAAGAGTTGTTGGGCTACGAATGTGCAAGTTCCGCTTCGGCTCCGATCTACGGAGAAAAGGAACAACACAACTGGCCATCTGATGTCCCGTTGTGAGTCCGGGGGACCGAAACTCAAAAGGAGCATTCGGTAAGAGCTGTGACTTCACTTCATCAAACGCGGAAATGCGGCGCCCCTAAGTACCATAATCTTCCCGCCTCAGTGATGTGACTAATACTGACAGCAGGTCCCTATTGTCTACATCTTCGAGTATAGCTTAAACGAAAACTACTTGTCGCTACGTTCGACGCGGAAATAATAATTCCCGTCTCAGTCTCTACTGCCAAGAAGCATTGCCAGGGGGGGTAACTTCATCAAATCTCAGCCAAGAGTTAGATTTTGGTCACAAGAGAAAGAAGACATAGTAGTAATAAGAAATACATGACGTTTTGAAAAAAGCTCACTGACTTCATCTCTAAACCTATGTTACAAGAATCGCCACTTCCATACGTGATACAATGAGACCGTTATTCAATTCTTAGCTTGGTCCATGCACCTCGTGATTCAGTCAGCCGAGCGTAGGACCATACCAACCATGAGACGCTCAAGAGCGGAGGCAAAGCTATAAACCTTATGATTTATGCAATAGTCGCTTCCTGGAGTTGTGATTCAATACGCGAAAGAACTGAAGCTCTGCATCGGTACATACGTCTCAACCCTACGCGAGCACGATTATCTCTTGCCGTTACCTGCATGGTGCGGAGTATCATCCTTTGTCCAGGGGCTTCTCTGGAGCGCAACCTGACAATGATCAAACTTGTTACCGAGCAGCCAAATCTTCAAGATGTTTCTACTGACATCAATCAAGCTGACTTCGACTCGTAAATTCTCGAAGCCCCCGAGTATTAGAGTCATGCTCGGCGTCCCGTCAACCAACAAATTGCCACAGATTTGGGAGATTTCAACCAGAGCAGTCGTAAAAACGACGTCGTCAATTACAGGCAGTAATTAATGCCTTGTATCACTTGTGACAAGAGCAAACATTGACTTCATATCCCTATGAGATATCTGGGAACTTGAACAAACCTGATAGATTTTGGCCAGACGATAACAGGTCAAGCCAATCAGCCGTTGCTGGGGTCGCTTTGCGACGAGACGAGAGGAGGGTTGCGCATGGTATTCCTAGATTCTTAGCACAACAAAGATGCATACTCTTTCTTTAGTAATACTTGAGAAAGCGGAAGGTGAGAAACCGCGGGAATAAGTCAAGACGAACCCTCACCTGCGGAGTTAGTAAGTGACGTAAAGCTGTTTCCCAGGCTTCGGGGCTGAAGATAGTGTAAATGATAAAACACAAACTGCCCAGAAACGATCACGGTTAAGCAGCTTCACATGATTGGAAACGGAGACGAGTGGCTGGTTCCCTTTCATGACTGTTATGCGGGCTTATAAATGTAAGACACCAGCCAATAAATCAATCTCTCTTTTCAAGTGCGTCTGACGTCAATCAAAGATTGACAAGGTTTCTTGCAGCGACACAGCCGCCGTGGCTGTGTCTGACCACCAGGCAACAAGATTCAGTTCATAGACCCAAGCCATGACTGGTGGCAGCGTCCATCTGACGGCAGATTGGTTCCGTTGGTGCTCCAGACCGGCGATAGCCCACAGCTTCTGCCCGAAACGTCGAGATGGAGTCGTCTAGGGAAACCATCCTCACGGGTCTCACCTCTTCTTCGCGTTTCGTATTGGGTCGGCTCCTCATTGTTCATACGCGGCACACGCAAATATGACATCTGCATTAGGTCAATTGCGGTGACAGCACTGAAGCTGGTCCTCGCACTGCCCATCATTTGCGTCCTTGTATGAGGCCGTCCTTCACCCGCCGATTTATGCTGACACATTATAGGTGTGCTGGGCAGGACATCTGCACGAGTCCCTGATTCATTTTACTGATGCTCCGGGTTTTAATGTCGATTTGCGTTATGACACTGTTCGCGTCTCTCGGTCAACGGATGACGGTTCATCGTCGCATCCGTACCAACCCGCTCCAACACATATACATGACGGAAGTACCGGTTTCGCTTTCCAGGACCATACCGGATCATCTGAACAGCCATGCACAGATAACATTAGATTGGCTCGGGCTCCCCCTCCCTCGGACCGGAGACGAACTGTTAGTTCACCAATCTTACTCCGACCAAGGTACCTTTGCTTCGTCAAGGATTTCGATAAAGGCATCTATGAAACAGTCAAAGTCTCCGACTATCTGGAACTCGCAGAGTCATCAACATACCCACCACCCTGGCTTGTGAATTTGCCAAAGGGAACCTTGCCTTGACACTGATAAAGTACATGCTATCATGGTATCCAACAAACGAACTTCCTCTGCGGTTTCTACTTTGGAGCTTCTTCAGAGCAACACTTCTCAATGAAAGGGGCTCACTTGTCACTGTTATCTATATCAATTTCTTGACTTTTGTGTTGAACACTGTGGCTCTCGCTGTTCTCTTCTGGACGAACTACATGAGCCGCATCGGCGGCCCAAAAGACATCACTTGGCTTTCTCCACATGAGAAGCTGTATTATTCCAATAGGTCGGCTGCATCTGAGTTTCGACCTGTCACATGGAAGCGTGTGTGGCGGGATCGACAGGCAAGTTGCACTAGAACTACCCGACGCTTTGCTTACACTAACACTACTCTGATAGCAACTGGTTATCGAGTTGATACAGCCTTTTTCTGTATTTATATTATCTCTTTTGTGCTCTCTCAGTATTACAGGTCCATAAGTGAATGCATTTATTTCATATGCACCGGAAGCTGGAGCTGTTGTCCTCATCGTTCTCGTCGGGCTTGCCGTCCACAAATTCCCGTCGCAGCTTTGTAAGTGAAATACTACATCGAAAGAGTAATAATATAACTGCTAACACCGCTGTTGTAGTTCGTACGGTGGCTACGTGCTCTTTACTTTCAGGTGCTGCTACTGTAATAGGCACGTCAAGTCTGGGGAGCTACTTACTGTTTCCCCTCCATCTCGCTCAGCAGCTGCACCGTGTTGTACCGTCCCGTAAGTCAAATGAGGCACAATCGATTATAATCGGCTTGAGATAACACAATTTGCAGTGCTTTGGGCAATGGCAGCCCGCGAGACGCCGACCTGGGCCGAAGCCTTGGGTACAGTCTCTCTGTCATTCATCGGAACGGTCATCGGTCAGACAATATTTTTCTTTACGTTTCAAAAGTTGAAGATCACCCCGATACAACTAGCTCTTTTCATAAGCCAGGTCACCGTCGGGGGTGTACTTTGGGCACGTAAGCAAAAGCTTGGTGGGGTAAGGTTGCCTGAAGACACACAGGACAGTCGGACACTTTCATAGGTGAACCACAGCGAAAACGGGATAGAAGAGCAGTGAATAGTAATGGCATGTTTCTTGAACCTTGAGTTTTGGAATAAATAAAAAGAAAAGGCCACGTCGCTTGACATACATGGCTGCAAATAGCCCAAGAGAGTCTGAGCACCCAATGGGGATACTTGCTGCTATTGACAAAAGCTGCAGCAGCTTGACATTGTTTCGAATGATAAGGGAAAGTATGCTTTGCCCAGAAGCTTTGTTAAATTAAGGCTCCGAGTTTTAGAGGGGCAAACGTCCTTGACTATTATATATCCTCGTCTCGGGAGGCTAAGCAAGGGCGATGTAAGACATTCAAAGGCGCGTGCCAACTTGTCGGGCGGGTTGCGGAACGCCACACTAGCCATATTGATTCCAAGGGAAGCACCAAGCCCCTTAAATCTTAATTTGAGTTTCTTAATACTTGAATGGACTCGTGTCTAGAACTTGGTTCCAAGCGCACTCTCCATCCGTCATATTCTCACCGAACGAAAATGGGTGTCTCAACACGTTACTCTACAAGGCGCCCCGGTAGTCATTATGTCACTGCTGCCGCTATACTACTCATTATCATACAGGCCCTCTGGATCCGAGCCGAAAACGTTGATCCCAGCTTGCAGGTACAAATCACTCCCTGGGTGCCAAGTTCGCAGGGGGACGACTATTTCGACTACCCGCCTCTTGATTCTTTAGAAGTTAGATCGGTCTGCAATGGGCAAAAGTGGGACTCCAACACAAACACAGAGGTCGTATTCACCTGCGACAACTCGGTTGGTGAAATTATAGACATCCGGAACTCGATTCTTAACTGCATACGGTATGCGATACTGGCAGGAGGGTCCCTGGTTATGCCTAGGATCACTGTCCTCAAAGGTTCGGGCACCAGAACCGATAAACAGACGGGTGAGCGAACAGGCGCCTGATCACGGTAACCCAAACTTATTCCCACAGGTGAAAGGAAGCATATGGGATATATGTTCGATGCGGACCACTTCATTAAGTCCCTTCGTCTCTCATGTCCACAACTACGCTTGTACGATGACGTGGAAGAAGTTTATAAAGCGCTCGGTCCGCCCCGAACATGGTCTCTGGGCCTCTTTCCGGAATCACTGATTGACGAAGAGAAGATACCGAGCATAGGGATTCAGCATCCTAATAGATGGAGGGGCCAGCTGTACGACTGGCTTGGGCAAGTACACACTGATGTCTCTCCGACTGGAAGACCTAGCTATGGCCCGTTCATCGTTGACCTTGGGCGTTCGTATCTGACTTTTCCGATATACAACGACGGCGAGCCTTTTGCGCAAGCCTTTGGGGATATTCTGAAGTTTAGGTCTGACGCTCGAGAGCTTGCAACAAAAGCATTGCTTCAGATGGCAAAGATCTCCGGCTCCAAACTCACGCAACCTGAGGGCGATGCAGCACCTAGCAAGCCTGGTACATATGCGGGCACCATCCCCGAGCACGCCTATCTTGGCATATACCTGCAGGAGGGAAAAGACTCTGAAGAAACGCGGACTCCGTTCGCTGAGGCTAAGCGGACCGCTGACTACCTCCAACAAGCCGTTAACGCGGGTCTTTCTCTCGTCTATATAGCAAATGGCGACGCGACGCAAGTCAAAACCTTCAAAAGTGAGGCCAAAGCCAAGAGCATCACCGTCGTTACGAAACAGGATTTGCTTGGGAACAAGGATGGTTTGGAGAATCTTCAAGGGGATCAGCAGGCTCTGGTGGACTTCCTGGTTCTGCTGAGCGCATCGCATTTTAGCGGTGCCGCGTGCTCGAGCTTTTCGTGGAATGTGGCGCTGAAGCGGCATTTATTAGTTCAGGGTCCAGAGAGGAAACACTGGGACGGACCGCAAACGTTCAATAGTCGACTGAACCACCTCCATGGTGAGCCCGAGAGTTGCCCTGAGTTCTTCGCATGTCTATGGCCATAGAGCAACAATCGCAATCAAATCATATTACGACTCAGCCTGGTCATTTTGAAGATAATTGCTTGGTTAAGGAGTTTGATGGACCTGAAATTTTACATATATTTTGTTCAACAAAGCAACTTTGGAAGCTTTCTGTGCTGGAAAAGACCATAATGCGGCATCACCATTACTTCGCATTTCATGAGAAGCTAGAGATATTCAAAAATATATTTCTATCCGCCTCTTGAAGACAGCCGCGTTGTATCAATTATCTACAAGAAAAGGGTGTGTTCGTCATATCAATATGTGATGTCTCTCGCTTGCAATATCAATATTAACGCAAGTAAGATCGAGGCCACTTATCCCAGCGAGTGCGGATGGACCTCGCATAACCTGACACCAATAAGACTACAGCAATCCAGGCTAACTGTCCAATAGCTGTCAGTAGTTATCTGCAGAGGCCCTTTTCTGGGTCATGTGAGGTCCATTCGCACTCTGTGGGATACACTCATTGAGACCAACTTGCCTACCCATTCCCGAGTCTTTCACTTGGTGCAGTAGGGTATTCCAGTGGCCGTATGCCAATTTAGTATCACTTAGATGAAGTTCTATCTTTGGGCTGTTTGCTGGAGCTTCCAATAATTTCGAGACGCACGTTTATAGCCTGCGTAGATGGAGCTTACCTAGAGACTCCAGACGAATCTTGTCACGGGATATAAGTGTTATCGTTTTGATACGTGACAAATCTCCCCTACTGGTATAAGGGCGTCTGTTGGAACAAAGCCGAGCGAGGGCTGTTTCAAGTTTGGAACTACGTGAAGCATTGCAAACAAGTTCTCCTTCTTTGATACAGATGAACGGCTTTGAGCTCAAGTACGGTTATATGTATCATAGGCGTTCTAGTATCAAGAGACGAACGACTTAGGTCGGACTTCAACGGTAAGTTGGTGAACTGAGAGAGTCGAAGGAAGTAGGCATAGAAAACTCTGCGCTGCAGGCACCCAGTTATCATCTCCTTTGCCCGTCTTCCTGGTTCTTTAGATTATTGACCAACGGTTCTGGTAAAACTGATTTGTAGGAGAATTTCTTCTCTTTTCATCCGAATTTTCTCTCTAGCCCTTGGCCGCACCTGCCTTCTTCTTGCGTACCTCCCAGAATGCAAAACCCCCACCGCCAAACTCACCTTCACCATCTTTTTACTTAAACTCCACCTCACACAAGATCTGCCTCAAACACAACAATCAAATCACCGCAGTGATGGCCTCAGACAATCTCAAAGGCCTCACCAAGGCCATGCAGAATCTTCAGCTGCCAAAGGCCGCCAAGAAGAGTCTCCCTGCTATCCCGTATGAGATAATCCTCCATATCTTCGAGGCCCTCATCAACCTGGCCGACGACCCAGCTGTCACCCTCACGTGGTGGCTGACCTACGAACTCACAGCCGATACCAAGCTAGTTGTCATCGACATGCAGCCTTGCCCGAATTGCAAGTTGCCTCCTTTGAAGAGTCGCTTTGCTAAGCTCCGCCTGCCCTCCCAAGTCAACAGACAGAGCCGCGCTCTTGTGCACCGCCGGTTCCCACGCCTCTACATGATTGACGACGCCGGCGGCATGGGGAAGCAGTATGCACCGGTCCTGGCCTGGGTCCAGCCAGAGACGGACAGCTTTGTTCCGTTCTTTGGTTCTTACCAACTCGAGCACGCCATGGCTGAGCACTGGTACAAGCAAGCCGTCGTGCTGCCCACCCCTGCGGGCTTCGAGATGCTTCAACACATCCATCACCTTTGGCTTCCCAGCCTCGACTTCCTTTCAGGACTGAACCGACCCGGCCTCCGAGCACTCTTCCGCATGCCTAACCTGAAGGACATCACCGTCGACACCAGAGACATTGTGGCAAAGGATAAGATCATGCACCCCGGACGCCTTCCCATTGACGGAGACTTGTTCCCTTGGCTCCATGTCTGGTACCGCCATTCAGCGGCCTTCAACCGCCTCTGGGCCGAGTTCAACACCCGAGGTGTCCGCCTCTACGCCGTCGCTGGAGGTGTCAAGAAGAAGGGTGTCGTTATCGAGCTCTTCAGCACTGATTCCGGCATCCGCATGCGATACCTACACCCAAACTGCCCTTGCTGCAACCACAATGCCCCCAAGTACAGCACCATCTATCACAGCAAAAAGAAGTGATGGGTGTTGTCCGGAAAGGTCACATGTGGCAATCAAAGGAAGGAACTTTGGGTCTGTGACGGAAAGATACATGGGGTTCTGGGGCTGAGAGGAGAAGCTTCACATTCACAAACAATGTCGACCTCGCATTACCACACTTTTGGTTGTCGTGAATACCACCTCTTTGCTGCGGAAGATGGTCTTTTTTTCTTTTCCTTTTTATCTTGGCCAGTTTTGGCTTGTTCGCTGGGAGGGTTTGTTTGTTAGATACAAAGGCTGGCTTGGCATTGACATGTTGCTTTGTGCAACACAGTTGTTGCCTTTCCCAGGCATTGCAATAGAGTCCGAATCACTCTCAGAATAACAGACTCTGTGGGGCGAGGCAAGGCTTGACGGATTGGTAGTCAGATGAGAATACAACAAGTTTCGCATAATTCACATTCTCTCCTACTAATTTGTTCGGGGAAACAATAAGAACAAAGTGCCCTTTTGTCCAGTTCTTCTCTCCAGCGTCAACCTTGCGTCTGCTCTCGAGCGCCATGTTGAAGAGAAAAACAGCAAAAGGGTCGCGAGTTTTATTCTCGGTCACATTGCCTCTATTCGTACAACTCTATCCACCGGACTCTACCCGGTCATCCCAACTTCACCTTGCCTGATATGGCCCTTGAACCAGCCCTTTGGGACTGAGCCTCGTTATGCCGCCTTTGTTCACATCATCGGCCAAGAACCCACGTCTTGGGATTCTTCAACCTCGGATATAAGTCATGGCTACAGTCCAACCCGACGACTACCGCACTACTTCCCGTAGACGACGTGCCAAGGTTGACCCTGCACACTCCCCTCCCCCCCGGCAGCTCCTGCTGACCGACGACATCTCCATCGCAGAACTTGAAAAGGCGACGCGCGATACACCCTTGACCCTTGCGGTCCTCAAACATACCCGAGGTGGGCACACGAGGAGCGTGCTTCAAGGCTGACCGGACTCTTTCCCCAACTCGACCACAGCCCCAAACTTTCGATTCTTCCGTCTCTCCCAAGAGAACGAAATCTGAAGATGTTTGAAACACTGATTTCAAGCTTCTCCTGCGTAACGGCACAGTACCTGGCTACTCCGCTCCCAGACGCGGGAGGCTCCTGCTTGGAGCTCGAGAACTTGAGCGCGCGCAGCCTGCAGGTGAGCCGATGTCGCCGTGGCTGGAGTGCCCAGAGCTACCTGACACTTTCCAGCGCGCCAGGGATACGCAGCGTGGCGTGGAAAGCATTTACAAATGGGAGTCAGGGTGGCGACGATGATATCGCGGTGGAGGGAGGGTTTATGTCGATTTTGGCATAACGAGGAGTAGCACATATGAGGGACGAGCTGGCCTGAGATTCCGTTTCAAGAACAGCCTCATATTCCTCTTGTTTTCGGCATGAAAATGGGTAGTGGTACACGGCGCGACGCATAGTCACGTTTCCGCTGACATACACATTTTGTGGTGGCAAACCCTCTCCAGGTCGCGACGCCGGCCCCGACATGCCAAGCTTCCGGGCCTGAGACATGACATCCGTTATCTGTATGATGGGAAGATGAAATCGGGCTGTATTGCAAAAAGCCAGTTACGCTGTATGTCGAGCAGTAACGGTGGCCTTGACAGACATTGCCAGAGCTCAAGGGGGCCATGGTTTCTGCTAGGCCCCTGCCCTCCCGGAAGCCAGATGAACGACAACACCACGAGCTAGGCAAGTATCTTTTCACAAGCCCTCAAGAAACGCAGTATTCGTGTCCTGTATTCCTGCATACGACACTTGACGCGAGCGTGATGTCAGGAGATGGGAGGGCGGTTGCCAGACGTATGGGAGTCTGGGAGAGGGATGCCACTTACCTCCCCGCGGCCTCCCAGCCCGTTCAGCTTCCCCTTTTACCATTCATGCCGTCGCGGTAGATCCCGGGAAGCTTCCCCATCAACTTATCTCTTTCAAAACCATCAGGTAATAGGGAACCCCGTCCCCCGTGACAGACAACTGCGCCCAGGAACCCCTAGCCATTGACGTTCTCGTACCACGGCACCCGTGTGGTGCGAGATTCATGTCTTTTCTCTTTCGCTTCCCCTTCTTGGCAGGCGTTACCCAGCGATAATAATTTATCGACCGTTTGTTTTTTCTTTTCCGCTAAGCGTTCGTAGTCGTCGCTTCTTCTGAGTTGTCGTCCAACATCGCGGTCGTTCCAGAAAGTGAAAAAAGTCTTCCCCTCGGAGCTTCGTGCCGGATGTCCAAGCCTCCAAGTCGTGGGGTCGCAAGGAACTTCGAGTACACTCTTCCGCCGCCGCCGTCGTCGAGTTGGAAACATTGGTTGTGCCGCACATGGTCCAAATTTTCGGTTTTTTCTCTTCTTCAACCCGAGGTCCGAATTCGTCTTTTCCCCCTCTTCGGCAGCGCGACCCGAGTAAAGCAATCAGGTCATCGGCCGGCCAGACCCCGTCGTTCATCTCGTATCCCTTCTCTTCTAACCATACCGGCGTTGGTTTCGAATCGTCGTTTCTGGGTTCGATATCAGTTGTTCTCATCGCTTATCTCGACCTCTACGTCCGCCAGGCGTCGTCAAGTATGGCTTACCAAGACCAAAACAGACGAACACCGGCTTCACGGGGGAAATCAAAGAGAACGGAGGTGCATCAGAAACCCGGGGGAAGGGCATTCGTTGGGGTTTATAAAGACACGTTAGCAACGGGGCGGTGGTCTCCGTGGCAAAAGCCGGTGTGGCAATGACGCACGGCCGATCCCGCCGATCACCATCGCCTCCTCTCACCTGAAAGGTAACCCTCCCCAAACTCATCCATTTCCTCCCAGTCTCGTCAATCTTGCAACGGTCAGAAAAATGAGATATAACGGCCCATAGGGGACAAAGCTACTATGTGCCTCTTGTCCAGGCGAACTGTGGTTCGGATGATGGAATGCGAAGAATGTTCTCCTGCAACGGGTTGAGATAAAAAGAAGGGGCAACAAACTTCCCCCACTTTCTTGTCATAGCCAAAAAGACGATCCGCAGATCTCATGCTCCGTCCGCCACAACCCTTGCCGTCATCAGTAACCACCTTTCTCGCTTTCACGCTCTTCTGCTCAGCGCATCCTTACCTTTCCCGTAAGACCGGAGAAGCTCTGAAACATCGAGCCCCCCATCCCACGCAGCTCTTCATGATTATCCACCATGTCGATCGTCGAGAGTTTGGCCTCATACTGTCAACGTAATACCCACTCACCTGAACGTCAATGATTATCTCCGTCTATCATCTCAAGTCCTTGCCGGAAAGGTGTAAGGCAAAACGCAGCAACAGAACCCCCCCCCAGAAGATGGGAAGAGAAAGGCCATCCCAGGGTCCCTGGGTTCTTCCTCTCCCCAAAGTGACAGTGGTTTCTTGGCGATCACTTCCCCAGTGCTGCTCCCGCCACCGCATCACCGTCTCAATATCGGCGAACGTGCTCGTAGATCGGAATGCCATCCCCCCCCTTCGGAAGCTCCGGGTAGCCTCCTTGTAGGTGTTTCGTCCCGCTGAAAAGACAGCACGCCACCGTGTCTGCAGATCGAGGAGTCTCTCCCTGCCTGGCAACGACTTGCCGCCTCACCCCCCCCCCCCCCCCCCCTCTGCATTGGCCAGTCAAAACACTTGTTTTTCCTGTCTTCTGTTGTCCTCCAGCAGTCTCCATCCTGGAAGGGGGGAGAGTAAAGCTCAAGAGGCCTGTAGCACTGAGGCGCCCCCCAAAATCAGGGCGTTGTCACGCTGAATGGCTCGTAAATCAGCAAAGATCGGCCCCTCTTAGCGGTCGGTCTGCAGGTAGGGGGGATCCTGTCGTCCACTGGCATATACCTAGGGGAGAGAGTGGTGATGAAAACTGTGAATCGCAGATTCGTGCAACCCTAGCCCCCTCCCTCTTGGCCCCCGTGGTCGCCCACGGATTTCAGGTCATTCGTTCGCCCACCCCCCTCGCAACCGGAGACAGAAAGGGAACACCGCCACGGCTTCTGCTCTCGAGATTACCTTGCCGTGAGAACCCTCGGGTGCGGCCAGCGCCTCGAGATTACCGCATCAGGCAATCGACAGGGCCGTATGTGCCACGGCTATTGGCTCACCGTCAACGTTCCAGCGGGAGGGCAAGCGTCCCTCCCACTACCGAGCAAAGAATCCCAGATCCCTGGCCGTGGCTAGAGAGGGTGAGGGGCCACAAGGATACCGAGGAAACAAGAAAGGAAGCTTCCTCATCGAAGCTGTAGAATCCTCCTCGTGCGGTTTCGAAGAAATACAAGTGAGAGATCGGAAGGAAGTGAAGAGGCTTTCAAGCCTGCCCATCACCAGTCCGTCAGAAACATCGGCAAATGACTTGACGTATCTTGGGGCACCGCCGCTTCTTATCCTCGTCGCCTCGGCGAGGCGGCCCACCCCCTCTGTGGCTGGCCAGAGGGCGTCCCCTTTCTGATGGAACCCCTCCACCATGGCATGCCGCCCGAAGCCTCCTGGGCGATCCCAAGAGTCTGGAATCTTGTAGGGGTGCCGCCGCCCAATGAGCGGTCCCACTGCTGGCCTGATAGAAAGTGACTTCCTCTTAACGAGACCCCAAGGACACTTACCCCTGGGGGGGGCCGATGCCTAGCAGCTGCAAGAGCGGCACCATGCACAAAACAATCTTCGTTCCTCTCCATGTGGCGGGTGTATGAGAGACACGCCCCTTGACAATGGCCGAACCGGCCTGCTCAGCCACTTCAGCCACGCAAGTTGCCACTCACAATCTGTCCGAGACTCCGGGTCACGCGGGTGTGGCCCGCCCTTGTTTCCGCATGGAGCAAGTGATCAACGTCTTCTCTGAACATGTGGCGCTTGACATGGGAGCCGAGCTTTTCCTCAGCCCGCTCCGCTAAACTTCATTGTTCTAGCGAAGGGTGGCTGAACCCTTGCCCAGCTGAGGTCTTGACGTGCGGACCATTCTGACTGGTTATTTCCCCTGGAGAATGGTGCGAGCTTGAGAGCTAGCTCGCAGCGATCGTCTTC